TAGGCACTACTTGTCGTTACATAAAAATTGAGAAACAGCATAATCAAGATATGAAAGGAAGGCAGATTACGGGTATTACGTATGAAACAGGAAATCACATAACTTGAAGCGGTTCAGTTCAGATTTCGTCACTATCAGTTTCTTGAAGAAGATAATATATTTCTTCAATACTTTTAGAAATGAGCTGTTGGTGGTCACTCAATTCTTCTGGGGTAGCATCACACTCAATAAAAACCTTCTCAATGTTTCCTTGGAGTTTGATGTCAAATTAACATTAGGTTTGCCTTTTCAATGTTAAATTGACATCAAAAAACCGTTTTACATTTTTTGAAAAACTGGTATTGTTTTTGAAAATTGTCAAATAAGTTTGTGGCGAGAAGCTTCATTACTGACAGCGTCACGTTCGCCCTTTTTCCAAAAACTACCTTTTGACATTTAAAATGTCTATGTTGAGTTGATAAAAAGTACGCCTGACGTTAAAATATGTTTATTTGATAACAAGAATGTGCGGATGTATAATAGTAGTATGAATACCCCTCTGTCACCCCCCGCCATTTTGATTCCCCAATGTCACCTCCCCAATGTCACTTCCCCTTTTTTTAGGGGGGTGTCTTTTTGGCGACTAACCTAATCTATTTTTTTGAAAAGGATGCTTTTTTTGTGTTTTTTTTGTGAGGAATCTTTTTTTTTTGGTGTGTAACCTAACCTATTTTTTTTTGTGAGGGTATCTTTTTGGCGACAAACCTAACCTAACCTATTTTTTTAAAAAGAAGAAGAAGAAGAAGGATTTTTTTTTGTGTGTATATTTTTTTTTTTGTGAGAGTATCTATTGGGTGGGTAACCCAAACCTAAATTAAGTCCACGTATACCCTTCTCTGTGGCTCATGGCCCCAATGTCACCCCAATGAATGAATGGCTTAAGATCTGGTCCCGTCCCACCGGCTCATGGGTTCAAATCCACTCTTGTCATTGGTTTTTGTGTGTGTGCGCGCGCACAGCAGTGTCCCCTTGTGCCCCAATGTCACCCAATGTCTTTAAAGGAAATTGGGTTCAAATCCCACTTTTTTTTATTAATGTATTTTTCTTGATTACTTATTAAAGAAGTTGGTGTTCAAACCATACGCCAATGCGTTGAGCGTTTTGTTCAGCACAGCTAAGTGATGAGTGCATGCTTTTACTGTTAAGATCAGAGAATGGCAGTTTAGGTAGGGTATCCAGGCGTGGACATCCCAGTACACCAATGTCTGTGATACGTGCATGGGACACTATATTCTGTAGGATTGCCCTCTTCTCATCTCCTTCGACATACAGATCGGCATAGATACTTGTCACCATTTTAATGTAGTCGTGACACTCTGAGTATGGCAGTGTGCCCTGTTCCCACGTGATGCCGTGAATGCGCTTCGTAATGTAGTCATTTTGTTTGCGCTGTTTGGGTGGGAGCCAGTCGGCTGGATAAGGCGGAGCAAATATCTCCGTGTAGCTTTTATTAAAGTAGGGGTCATAGATGCTAAATTCTTTAATGACATACTGCCCACTTGCCTCCCTAAGCATTTGCATGTCACAGAAAGCATAGGACATCTTGGAGTGAACTGGAAGAAGCCGAGGGAGAGGCACAGGGTAACGGTCGGGGTTAAACATGATGTGAACAGGACGAAGCGAACAGTAGTAATGACTGCATGCGGTGGTCGTCCTTGATTTATACCAGCGTTCGGCCGCTCGCGCGCCACCTATCGGTAAATATCAGCCACTCAAGTTTCAAACACGTTACAACACGACTGGTGCTAGGCTCGCTCACCGCGCGCCTGCTGAGCAACTGTCCCGCCACCCAGTGCTGAGCCGCTACTGCAGCATACTGAAGTTGCTGAGGTTGGGCAGCGCCGGCACCACCGGCATGGCCTTGGCCGCGTCAGGCAGCTGGCGTGGTGCTGTGTGGGGGGATAGCAGCGCTAGCACACCCATCACACGCAGCGCGAGCACACGCAGCGCGGGCAGCGCGGGCAGCGCGGGCAGCGCCGGCAGAGCCTTGAGCCGCGTTTTCGAGCTCGGCCTCGCCCTGGCCACCATAGGGCCGCCCCGGTCTGCGGAGCGGGAGCGAGTTAAGAGCGCCACCGTAGCAAGAGGGATGCGGGGGGTGAAGGAAGGGTTCGGTGGGGAGGGGGTGTGTGCCGGCATGTTGAAGCCTGCCTCAGCGCCTCGCATTTGTCCAGCGTCCACCTTCGAACAAGGTCGTATGTAACGTTGATTGATAGAAGAAAAAAAAATTCAAAAGATGTCTGATGAAGAGTTCATAGATGTTGAGGAGGTGTCGGGGGATACAATTGATCTGAATTGCTCGTCTAACTTGGGATTGGTAAGTAGAGTGCCTTTTTAAAAAATACAGTCGGATGTGAAATGATAGCGAATGAAATTTCACGGTTGCACCATAATGCTTGCCACGCCATTATTTTTCAAAAGAAAAAAAAAATGCCGTGGCAAGACATTCGTTTTTTCAGTTAATCCTGTGCCAATGAGGCAAAATTCGGTCGTTTTCTCATGATCTCGCGTTGCGAGCCTATGTATGGGTGAGTCCCACGTGCGGTACGGTTTTGGTTTTCTAGTTGTTGTTTTTTATTATTTAACACAATATGTACGCCTAGAGCCTCTTGCGCATGTCCTGTTATTTCTT